GGTGTGTGTGTTGCACCTCCCTTCTCTCCTGAACGAGCAGGAGACCACAGGGACTGCCGGATATATCATGGTTATTTTTTTTTTTACTAACAGTCATTTGGTGTTCCTGTGTGCCTGAAGCAAGACAGCCTCAAGGCCTGTTTGAGGATTAGCTTGTTCCAAATTAACCATGATTAAACTCGGGGGGGGGGAGCTTAGAGGAAACAAGCTGGAATTGTTCTTTTTTTCGTTGTTAAATAAATTTGACCTTTCTAAGCAGTTTATGGTCATACTAGAAAGAAGGAGAGGGTGGGTAGAAGCGTGCAACCAGGATTTGAGATTTAAACTAGCCCAGGTGACTAGGCAGCCTTAAAAAAAAAACCCCAAACAAATAGCCTTTAAAAAACAACAACAAATAAATAGGCTGAGCTGGCTCAGGAATTCTGGGAGTTGAAGTCCACGACTCATAAAAGAGCCAAGGTGGCCTACCCCTGCTTTAAGACATCCATTAAAAGGGAGGCTAGTGGGGTGCGACCATATAAGAAATGCTTCCAAGAAGTGCAGTTGTCAACGTTGCAAATACTGTATATTCTGACAGTTCTTTTAAGTGTTTCGTTAATCAGACACATGACAGAAGTGAGTCCTACGGGAGAAGGGCGGGATATAAATTCAAATATAAATAAATAAATAAATAAAATGGGGAGAATTAAAGTTGATGAATCTCCCCAGAATAAAAGTGTTGAATCCAGCCTGCCTGTCCTGGCAGACTCCCATCCTGAACAGCCAGCCTTTATGGCAGAGGTCCCCAACCTTAGGGGCACCAGGGACCACCAGTTCCCCGTGGAGAGAGGTTTTTCCGTGGACCCGAGGGTGCGTGGTTTCCTCTGCTGCCCGTCTCCCACGGATGGGGCTTGGCTTGTTTGCACGGACCGGTTGCTGGCATGCCGTGGCCCGGTACCGGTCCACGGCCGTGGGGGGGCTAGGGACCCCTGTTTTAGGATATATCCTGTTGGGAAAGCGAGTGGCCAGTTTGGAGCCATTCCAAAAGCTGGGAATCTGTTATCCGGAGGCTTTGGGGGGGTCTCACTTCAAAGGGGGGGGTGTTCCACGCTGAGTTAGAAAGATTCCAGCTGGCACTTCAGCGCTTTTAATGCCGCAAGAAGAAGGGAGAGAATCAAGATCAGGTGAAGTGTTAATACCCCTTTACAAGGCCTTGGTAAGGCCACACTTGGAATACGGCATCCAGTTTTGGTCACCACGATGTAAAAAAGAGGTTGAGACTCTGGAAAGAGTGCAGAGAAGAGCAACAAAGATGATCAGGGGACTGGAGGCTAAAACATACAAGGAACGGTTGCTGGAATTGGGTAGGTCCAGTTTGATGAAAAGAAGGACTGGGGGGGGGGACATGATAGCAGTCTTCCAGTATCTCAGGGGCTGCCCCAAAGAAGAGGGAGTCAAGCTATTCTCCAAAGGACCTGAGGGTAGGAGAAGAAGATGGAAACTCACCAAGGAGAGAAGCAACCTGGAACTAAGGAGAAACTTCCTGACAGTGAGAACAATTAACCAGTGGAACAACCTGCCTCCAGAAGCGGTGAATGCTCCAACACTGGAGGTTTTTAAGAAGAGACTGGACAGCCATTTGTCTGAAATGGAATAGGGTTTCCTGCCTGAGCAGGGGGCTGGACTAGAAGACCTCCAAGGTCCCTCCCAACATCATCCTTGTCATCGTTATCGTTATTGTTATCAGAAGTGAGAGTAATGGGGCCAAACGGAGAGCAGATGGCCCCCGGAGGGACCTTCCCATTGCGGGTGCCACGTTGCCTTCCTCAGCCCTTCCCCTTTCCTCTCCATACGACCTTCAACGTCCGGCTTTTGGCCCCAGGTAGGAGCTGAATCACTTCGGCTACTTTGGGGAAGCATCAAACGGTGGCCCTTGTGGAGAAATGCAAGCTTGGGGTCTCCAGGGGGTTGAATC